AATTAATATAGAATCCTATTTAAACCAGTACTAAAAAGAAGTTATTAATTTACATTAAGTAGATATTAACTAATTTTTTTCTTGCAACTTTTGAATTATTTATGTAATACTTGCAGATAACTATTTTCGTTTCATTGAAAACTTTGTCCAATATAACACACAAACCAGATAAGTATATGACAAACTAAAAATATATAGATTTCAAAATCTTATACGATCCGTGTTTTCCAGGATATCTAAAGTCTAGGTTTCAATATTTTGATTTCATTCATCAACGTGATCTTCGTTCTAGTAGAAACCTCATTCTCCAAACTCCCGTTCATCGTACTGATATAGTTTACTTATCCATTACTCTAGCAGCTATTGGAATGCTCTTCCAGCTCACATTAAAACTGAATAGAGTAAAATATTCTTCAGAAGATTGGTGCATAAGATCTTTATCCGAATAAAGTTATTTCACTTGCGTTCTGTAATGCATTTTTTTTATGTCCGTATGTATTTATATATATATTTGTTTGGATATTTAGAGCATTATTTATTATGTTTTTGAATAAATTATGTAGTTATATCATTCTCTTTTTTGAGCATTTTAAACTGTAATGAGTCTACTAATTTGTTAACTATTGTTTTATTCTTATTATCTAACATTCAGGCTCCACCATAATTTTCTAGTAGACTGGTAATGAATGTCTTTGGCATTAAGTCCGCCATTTTTGTTTTTAAATGAAAATAAAAATAAAGAAAAACACATATTTTTCGAGAATTTATGTTCTCGAAAAACGATCATAGTACGTATATAGTACCAGAAGTAGCGGGAGGCAAATCGATTCGTCGCATTAAACTGGTTTGCACATAACATGTAGTGTAATGCGCTCGGGTTTAATGACAACGAGGTCATTGCAAATATCAACATTTATTTAGTTATATATATATTACATTCTGCTGTGATTTTTATATGGTCTTCCTGTTGCAATTCTTTTTCGAATCTATTAACATATACTTTATTAAGAAGTAATTCTAGGTGTATGAGTGAAACAATATTAATTAATGCTTAACTTTATTTTCAATAAACAAAAGATTTTCTCTGTTGAATCTTTTAAAATATTGACTAGTAGGTATCTATCTTGACATTACATACCATTATATACTATATACCATTCATTATAAACCATGTGCAATGAGTAGTCGTGCATAGTGAATCAGTGTGTACAGAATGAGTGTTGTGTATTTTGTGATTTTGTTTTTTACGTATATGGTGAGCAATGAAGGAGCAAGAATTCTGGCGGTTTTCCCAACACCGTCAATAAGCCATCAAGTGGTATTCAGACCAGTGATTGGGGAATTACTCAAGCGTGGACATAGTGTCGTTGTAATCACTACCGATCCACAGTTTCCTAGAGGTCAAACACCTAAAAATCTCACAGAAATCGACGTTCATGATTTATCGTACGATATTTGGTCAAAAAACTTTGTTAAACTCACTTCTAAAGGCAACCAAGATTTGTCCTTACAAATGAAAGTAGCTTTTTATTTGTTACCCCATGTTTTTATAGAACAGATGAAGGTCAAAGCAGTGCAAGAGATCTTTAATGACAATAACAATAAATTCGATTTGATTATCGCTGAAGCATTAGTGAGACCAGTGCTGGTACTAAAGCACGTTTTGAAAACACCTATCATACTTATAAGTTCATTTGGCGCAGTGTATGGAAACTATGAAACGATTGGAGCACCAGTACATCCCATTCTATATCCAGCTATGCTACGTCAGAAAATATACAACCTCACATTCTGGGAAAAGATTACAGAGTTATACAATTATTATAGGATGGTAATATGGTTTTATTCTGCTGAAGCAAACGAGAATAAATTGATAAGAAGTGTATTTGGTGTTGATGTACCTACTTTATCTGAGTTACAAGATCTTGTGGATATGATGTTACTAAATACGAATCCCATTTGGGAAGGCAACCGTCCCGTACCTCCCAACGTGATTCACACAAGTGGATTACATCAGAACCCTGAGAAAGATCTACCTCAGGTAAAATACACAAAATTATTACTAATCATTTATTTACGTTGAGTAACACAATAAATTGTAGTGAAAAACTTATAGTACATATTTTCTTATATAAAGCCCAGTCTTGTATTTAAAATAACTATCAACTAAGTGAATGTAGTCATAATTTAATTATAGTATTTATTCAAGTAAACATTACAATTAAAAAAGAACAATTTCTCAAACTTGTAACTTGTGTCTCATCTTCAAGGTGTCTTTTAGGTACCTATGTTCTTAAAATCCTGTTGAAGTCCAGTTGAGTTATGTGCGGCTTATGAATACTAATAGCCTGATTCAAAATTGCACATGTTTACCAAATTTTATAATTTATGTTAACATTATTTTTGTGCGAATGTGTTCCTTTCTTCTATGTTTAAACAACTATGGTAATGCGAGTATGACGTTTAGAATATCTAATATTGTACTTAAAGCCTTACTTAAAGTGATAGGTAATGTTTGTTTTTGTCCGTTGGGTAGTTTATTAAAGAATATTAAACACGTAATTTTTCGAATTATCAATAAATTACTGCGATACATTAAATTTAACTTCTGCATGAAATCACATATTTGTATATTTCTACACAGATGAGCCTCCACTTCTTTTCCACGCCTATTATCATTTCTTGTTAAAGTGAAGCTGAAAACCTATCTAGGCATCTTATATTTTTCTATTATTTGACCGACAGACTAAATAGCTTTTTTTACTCGGTCATAATGCCTATTATATTATTGAATTTTACATTAAAATTGTTTTTGTGCGACTCTGTTTTTTTTTGTTTCTAAGTTTAGATAGACAATTCAGAGTCTTATCATCATTCCTACAGTAATTTAAATTAGTTCAGACTAGGCAATACTAGTTTATCCTGAAGTATGCGTATCTATACCGGGATTAACAAGCTTGGCCTAGCATAAATTAGTTTATCCTATAGGGCTTAGGTCGCACTAATTTCGCCGAATCAAAACACAATTGTCTTGAAATCAGTTTTGACAGGTAAAATAGGTTTATATAACTAAACATAGTATTGAAATAGATTTCACACGAGCCCTACCAACTTTGCATGGGATTACCACAAAAACCTATAAAAGAACTCTCCAAGGTAATATAAAACAAATCATTCATTCTTTGTCTACCAACTGTGCCAACGTGTTATATCTGAATTTTGGATTTATTATTTGTTATAATTATAATGAATGGGACTGTTAATATGCCAATAACAATTGATGCTTCGATTTCGATGAGAAAATGTACTTTGTTTTCAAACAAAGGTATTTAAGGGATTAATTCTCGGTACATAATTTGGACATTATGAATGAAAATAAATTAATTTTAATATTGTATGGAATATAATGAATTGAACTTAGAATATTGTTAATATTAAAGATCAGAAAAATATAAGAAAGAAAAAGATAAACTTATTTGGGAAATGTTTTTAATTGCACCTTTGTATAAATGAAACAATTTTAAAACGGTTTCATCGCTTTTGTATTTCATGTTTGCGTTAGGGAACATCACAGGGGAACATGTAGCCGATGTCAAGCATAGGCGCGAAAATAAATCTGCAGTATATGAACATGCGATAGGAGAACCCAAGCATTACATAAGATTTTACAACCCAAAAGTACTTTCGGCTGAACAAAAACTCAACCCTAGAAAGATACGCGAGGCTTTTGAAATTAAAAACATCTGAATTTTAATGGAGATGAAGGTTAGCATATACCACCGGTTAGGGATCCAGTGATTAGTCAAATAAAATCTCAACCCAGATCACATATTGCAAAACCAAAAGATACAGTTAGTACATTCTGTAAATACAAAATCAAAGGGAGCAATTCACTTTTCTTTTGAATCTGTTGGTGGATTACGGTAGCCTGAATTAAATAAATAATTTCATAAATGTAAACACCATAAAAGTTTTTTTTTTTTGGTATTGTGAAAGTGTCCAAAAGTATTGGTTTTTGTAGCTAGATATACTTTTAATTAAAAAGAAAATCAATACCTTAATCTTATGTGAAGGGTTCCGAAACGTTAAATGAAACTAAATGCAAGCGCTATGAAACCGTTTAAAAATTGTTTCATTTATGGATAGTACGCGTAAAAATATGAGAAGAAATTAATATGCAACTATGTATTTGTGGAACCTTATAATGACTTGAAAGCAGCTGCTGCAATTAAATTCTGCAAGTATTTTCATATTCATATAGGTGTACTTTACAGATATGAGTATAGAAGTAAAATATAACGTTTACAATAATTTAAATATTTGACAGAATTCCTCACCTCAAAAGGAAAAAGGGAACTCTCATAGAATTATTAGATTATTTGTCTAGATGTCTGTCCATCAGTATTATATAGCTATTTTCTCCTACACCACTGACCTTATTGAGTAAGCCAATGACCGGATGGCGTCGTAAACATATAAATTTTAAAATGTATAAAAAGAAATTTTAAACATCTTATTTCTTCTTCATCCACAAACTCTTATGGGCGGTAAATTGGTAAATTGAAAAAGTATATTTATAATCTAGGGCTACGGGAGTAACCCACCAAGATGAACCAAAGAAACCTAACGGTATCCATAGTTTTATATTTTAGAAACGACATGGTCATGTCCCAAGTTTTGAATAAGGTATTGAATTTGTGCTTTTAGGGTTTTTAGATTTAATTGCTTGGCTCTTCACGAGGAGTCGCAACAAATATAAAATAGATGATAATATTTGTGTGGTAAACTCAATGCGCCTTACCAAGCTCCGAGAAGCTCAAGATAAATAAATTGTTGGGTACATATCAGTTCTTACGACAAACATTATTAATACACTACGCTTTGAAATAAAATAAAAAAACATTTTGATTAAATTTAAATTTGTTATATTGTAAGTACATTAAGTGTAATCTGTAGTAGACATAAAACAGTGTTTGCTAATCTACAATGTTACATTTCAGGACCTAAAGTCTTACCTAGACAAATCCACGAATGGCGTAATTTACATCAGTTTCGGAACTAACGTAAACCCATCGCAACTACCACAGGAGAAGATTCAGATTTTAATCAAAGTGTTTTCTCAGTTACCTTACAATGTGCTTTGGAAATGGGACAAAGACGAGCTGCCAGGTATAACTGGAAATATCAAAATATCTAAATGGTTCCCGCAATCCGATCTATTAAGTAAGTAAACTATTTTCGCAATTTGATGTTTATATATTCGTTTAATGTTTTTTAGTTAATAAGGTGTGCAATTCAGTGGAAAGCTTCGGTGTCTCTTAGTGTTTGCTTATTTTAATTTTTAACACGTGACTTGTAAGTCATCTTATGGTCATTTGATTTGAACTATGGTACAAATGGTATGGTATGGTATGGAAATCTTTTCAGTTTTTCCATAGTGCACCTTATATGGGTCATGGACGTATGAGTTCATTACTTGATGCCACACAGATGTGGTCCACGCACGTAGCAGATATTATTTATTATTCTTATTTAAGATACTTCACATTATTTTACTAACTGACCTTAGTCTGTCGTAGCTGAGGTGTTAGTATAAAACAATAAAGCAAATAAAACCGCTGATTGTTCTTTTTTTCGCTTTCGTATTCAAGAAATAGTGGTTCAGTATTGAATTTCAGAGGAAGACATAAATTAGATTTCGAAGTACCTATCAGAAAAATTGTTTAGTATCCTAGAAAAAACGACAGTGAATATCATCTTACGAAAAAATTTAAATTTATAACTAAGTTTCCTTCAACCGATACTACATAAACTACTGTTAAAATTTGTCACAATCCCATTATATTTGCTTTTTGAAAAATATTATATTTGATATGTGATAGCAATTGCAATCGAGATAGCATTTTGAAAGATATGAAATAAACGATATCGTAATTTGACGTTGGAATTGTCTAAGCAAAGCCATCGCTGTTTCAAAGCTGTTGAGAAATGTTAAACGAAAGATTTGAATGCGAACTGCAATCTTTCCATGGGATTAACAAAGTTTTTATTATGTTTGTTGGTTAATTGTGTCAAAAGCGATTGTCACTTTATAAGTTACACAATCCCTTAAATGGTTATTACAATCGCTATTTATTTTAAAAAGATTGCTATAAATTTTAAAATGAGAATAAGCACACATATCGCACACCTAGACCTAAACTGAGACAACTCAAAAATTTGAGTGAGTTTTGACTTTGTACGATATTCAAATTCTCGGTGATCATACGCATCTATCCAAAATAACAGATTCAATAAAGGTTCGGGGATGAGCCGCTAGATAACTTTAGCTTTCTTTTGTCGAATCAACAGTGGTCGCGTTCCTGCCACGTAAACAAATGTATTGTCAAACCTCCACATTAGGTTTTTGAGTTGTCTTAGTTTAGATCTTGGTGTGCGATATATGAGTTGCCCTAGTTGGAGTAGATTGGAGAGCTCTGATTTGACGTATAAGGTTAATTTCCTCTGCGTTTAAAAAAAAAGTAACCTTATTTTAATGGCAAATATACAGAAAATTTGTGCACAGCTGTGCATGTGCAGATTCTGTAAAAATTCTAACACGCGATTTCATGTCATTTAGTAAGTAAGAGATTTTATTGATTTCATTTTTTGTATAAAATACAAAACAAAATTGAATGATTATAAGTTTCTCAGATATTTTATTTTTGTCATTTATTTTTCTATCTATACTTATGCCACGAAACTTTATTAGTAAGTAATTCAAGATTGAGCTAATGCCGCTTTTTGCAGTGAATTCAGATACTCGAGTGAAATACGAATTCAGATTTGGATATTTACAGAATCACAGGGCTGATAGTAACTCTTCATCACATCACCAGCCCTTTTACGTCCCCACTACAGGGCCTCAGGCCTTCCTTATGGATGGTTAAGGAGGATGGGCCACGATCCTCCACGCTGGCCCAATGAGGATTGGAGGGTATTAACGACTGTAAATGCAGCCGGGACCAACGGCTTAACGTGCCTTCCGAAGCACGGAGTAGCTCGAGATAATAATTTTTTGGTCACCCATCCCGTGACCGACCCTTGCAAAAGTTGCTTAACAACTACACATCGAGCTACTCCAGCTACTTGAAGTTGCTCTTAGAGCACAAATATTTCAACGGTTTATTATCGTTAACAAAACACATTTACGAGGAAAAATTATAATGTTTTGAAATTACTTATTCAAATATTAATATCTATTCAAATACTTATTAATATTTTTCATGATTATTTTTATAGAACTAGTATAGTATTATAATGTCTGTGATAGTGGTACACAAAATCTAGGTATATCGACAAAAAATGGTCCTCATCCACCTCATAGTACCTAAGATTTATTATAAGTATCGGAGTTCTTAATAGACATTGTTTTTCTGTCTTTAAGATGTTAAAAAGATAAAGTTAATATGTTTTACAGTACAGTACATTGATTACAGTGTTTTACATAACATAAAGGAGGCTTTTAATTTGTAATCCCAACAAAGCACAAAATGCTTTTAATAACAATAGTGTTAACGTGCATTAAAAAAATATATGTCTCCCGCTATGTAATAACTATGAACTGGTTTCAACAAGTTCTATTTGAATTTCATGGACAATAAATTCAGTAAAACGGTGCTAACTCCTGCGTATTTCATTCGCTAGATATAAGCTAGAGTATTCATGAAGTTTAAGCGTCAGACCACAAGCAATCGAGGTCTTGGTTAAACTTTGTTTCGTATACACTTGGGGGATTTATGACCGTTGAATCCTTAGCTAATAACGGACGTTTTCATTATCATTTCGACCGAAGAACTTGTATCATCTACAATACGTATTTTAAAATTCGTTTAAATAATGATGTTAATGATGCTTTTTTGCTTAGGACATCCGAACGTTAAGCTCTTCATCACCCAAGGGGGACTGCAATCTACAGATGAGGCTATAACAGCAGGAGTACCTCTGATTGGTATACCTATGCTGGGAGATCAATGGTTTAACGTGGAAAAGTACACATATCATAAAATTGGCAAACGTCTCGATATAAATACGATAACGGAAGAGAAATTTCGAGATGCCATAAGTACTGTTATTGGTGACAAAAGGTTAGTACGATCTCAATAACAGAAAAATACTTGTTAGATTTTTAGTTTGTTCTCATAAATATGTAGAGCAAATTACACTACGCAATATATAAAAATAGTTTTTCTGTGCTTAAATAAGCGGAATCACAATTTCTAATAAGTATTGTCGTGAGAGCATTATTAAGAAATAGAGAAACTAAATATTAAAAAATATAATTGCATTTATCATGTCTCTCTATTCAGATATAATGTATTACCCTTAAAAGGTACTATTATTTTATCTATTATCCTTAAGGAATATAAAGTGAATTTCTTCCTAAGCTTGGTGATCCTTTTTAATTACCAGTAATATGGTGAAGCTCGATTTGATTGGTTAGAAATGGATTCACGTTTATTATCATCTTGGAATGACTACATCACCTGTTTTATTACAGTTATCGTGAAAACATTATACGTCTTCGAACATTAATGAGAGATCAACCTCAGTCACCATTAGACCGAGCTGTGTGGTGGATAGAATATGTAATACGACATGGTGGAGCTAAACACCTGCGTTCGCCTGCTGCAAACATCTCCTGGGCAAAATATCTCGAACTTGAATTTGTAGGAACTCTTTTAGCTTTAATATTATCAGTAATTATGGCTATTTTATTAGTACTGTACTACTCAATCAAAATTCTTAGAAGATATATAGGTAGTGTTAAAGTGAAAACAAGCTAACTCTGACGTGGTGAATTTAAATGTTAATATGAAAAGTTTACTTATACTTTCTTAAATAGTTTCAAAATGTTTTGTTTCACCGGTATTTCAACGACTTTATTTTTGTAAAGATATGTATTAAAACTGTGAATAAGCTCATAAAATGCTTTTAATTTCTACATACTGTGTCGATTTCGGTGCTTAGGTGTTGGTTGAAAATGAAATAAATGTCTGACTAGGCTTGATATGTAGGTATAGGTATTTGTTCAGGCATATTATTTCTCAATATGTAGGTAAACTCTCTCACGCACGGGCGGTGGCGCGAAACAGACATGAGTTTTTGATAAAACATTATTGTTGTTCAAATTATCGGTTTTCGGTGTGATATTTCGGATCATTTTTCTTATTTTATGTTTAATTGTGAATAAATATTGCAAATAACAGTTTTCGCCATACATAAGACGATTGCAGTTTATCTGGAAACCTGTGCACTACTGTGAACTTTGGCCAGTCTATCGGTGATCGGATCCATTGTCTCCTGAAGCTGTTGGTGTTGAGAAGAGTGGTTTACTTCATAGTGGGGAATCCTATGTCTGGACTACATAAATACCAATAAAAACGATAGGATCGGCAACCGAATGAACTAACTTATGCTCATGGGCTATCGAAGGTATTCCCGCGAACAGAATTTATGGCGTAAAAAAAATATTTTCTAGGTTTCCTCTTAAATATATCACTTATTTATCTATCACATAGAAAATTTATAACATATTTTAACAGATTACTTAAATATTCTTTAATTGAAATCAAATGTTATGTTACTCAAAAATTGAAATTATGAAAATGACTATTAAAATATTAATGTTTTAACAGACTACTTAAATATTCTTTAATTGAAATCAAATGTTATGTTACTCAAAAATTCAAATTATGAAAATGACTAATAAAAAATTAATGATCGTAAAGATCAGAGACAAAAAGCTTGGATGCGGGCACCTAGGACAAAATAAACGGTGTGGTACGACACACCGTTATAATAATTAAAAGTTATGCTATATTATTTCTTTTAAAAATATCTTGTAATAATACGTATTTAACTCTTACTGATTTTTTTTACTTTGCAATTTAGAGATAAATGTTTAGTCAAAGGTTGGAAGGGTTGGTAAGGTTGGAAAGGTTTTACAAAATGATGTTGCCATAAAATTGTATACAATAATATTGGTATATTATTTTAAATACATACTTATTGAAAGATATCTTTGAAGTCCATCGAAGAAGTAGATAGCATGAAAGTTTTTACAGTTGAAAAATTTTATACTCATGGTGGGTTCCGTTTCTATATTCCATTTCGATGCACACTCTTTCATCTAAATCTGTGAACTTATATTCATATGGAAAATATTAGCTATTTTTTAAATATTGTCTAAAATTGTCATAATCATCATCAGACTATATCACTACGCTACAAACGACAATATCCCCACTGCTTACCCAAATATAAAGCGGCTATAACTTACCCAAATATTTAATTTTTGGGATATTAAAATGTTGCTTAATTTTGCATAATTATAATCAAGTTCTTTTGCTATAAATAGGGCAGATTTATAGTTTCTACACTACATTTATCTACATCAAAACTAGATCAGCAAATATTTATATTATGAGTGAACATTAATACTAAGGCACTTAGCCACTGCTTCTGTAACCACTTACCACTGGTCTAGGAGACCCCGCGCATTAAATGGCTCAAATATGATGAATGTTTAAAGATAACGGGTTAATTTGATTAAAATAGACATGTCCGTAGTATTAAAAGAAAAAAACTCGAAATAAAATCAACCCTTTGGGGAAAAAAAACAAATTTTCCCGAAAAAAGAATAATTAATTTTTACTTGTTTTACAGAGTATAGTTTTAATTCCATAGTTAAGAATGAAAATATTTTTGCACCACTTTTGTTTTTTTAATTAAAAAATCTGTCTTAACACTTTATTAGTTGGAAATATTATTCTTAAAAAGTAACAACTCAGGGGCAACCCAATGCAGCAGGTATTATTCCGGCCTCGTCCGAAGGTGTTAGTTATAACAATAACAATTAAATATTAAACAGCAGCACACACATTGCTCAAATTCCAAGATGAGCAACTAAAGACCTCTCATTGTGGAGTATCTGAGACAACGAACGTACCACAACTCCTGGACTCATCAGTATTTTAGCACATGCACTCTAAAATCTGAAACAATGAAGGCATCACAAAATCCGGATCCGAGATTATACAGAAAAGTTCGCAGATGATAAAATGACGATACTTTGAAAATGGCGTTTGCACACCTGTCATGGGTACATGGGTACCCATGAAGGCTGATACATTATTCTTGTCTTTGAAATAAATGCTCTTGAATTGATTTTTTCCCATCCCACCCATGCGACTATGTTTTTTTTCTAGTCTTAATTTAGTGTGTGTATGACTCTGTAAGTAATAAAACTCGCAAGAAAAACCGTGTTTGTTTAGTCTCCTACTGTTTTACAACTTTTCCTGCCCGCGAGCGGAATTTTTCCACTTTTATTGGCATTTGTAATAGACTAGACAAAACAAAAATACTTTTTGTAAACGCTTAAATAAAAAACATTTGTCTCGTGACCGTTCGTTTGATCAGAAAATATCTAAAATTTTGTACCCGGTAAGAAAGTTTAAATGTTAAACCTCAAGTACGAAATTTAAAACAAATTGTTCTACAGAAAGTACACAGTCGCCTACAGTCATTATCAATATAAAACCAATTCATATATCACATATGTGTACTTTTGTAGCAGTTACTGCAAACAGAGTCTGTTGTACATTAAATGTTTATAATAAATAGGAAAAGGACAACAATTTTATACTCGATTGTGGTGATTCGGTGGTAAGCATGAATGTAACGGGCATTGCGCTTGTAATTTTATCTATCTTCTATAACATTAAATGTGCCATTTGTGAGTTCCCTGTTATCTCTTGTCAATACTATATCAAGTTATTACTATATATATAAAATATCGATATATCAAGTTTGATATATATCGGTTAAAGTCTATATCGATATATCGCTTCACAAAGCCGATATATCGATATTTATCAGAAATATTTTTGGATTTTAGGTAAGTTTAAAAGTATTGTTTTTAAAAACCTTATGAAATAAAAATACTTTTGATCTAAAATTTTTTTTTAATTTAAGTCTGCCAATAATTAGTGGCGGCTACTAAGCCTGTTCCTACTTCATATCATGTTGGTTCCTCTACGTGAAGCATTAGGAACTCGCGAGCGTTTTGTCTGCACCCAAATGACACCTTTCTCCGTTGCGCCCATATTGTATGGGCGCACAGGCCACTCTCGACCCCAGAAACGTGACGTTTGGTGTAGACAAAAGATCCCTCGATCTTTTCAAACTATGCGTGTTGCTTTCAAAGAAAGGCTTTCAAAAATTATACACATTTACTCATAGGATTTCATTCGATGTTAGGTTTCGATGTGTTGGTTTTTCGATATTGATATCCCTGTTCCTTCGATATCGATATTTTGAGCCTAAAATCAAAATTACTTATTTTGAATGTTGATTTTGATTTTTTTATATTTAATATAAAACTGCCCTTTTGCCTTTGCCCTCGAAGCTGGACGTAGTGGATAGATTTAAGGTATATATGACATTTCCTCCAAATTCTTTGAAGAATTTGTCTTTGAGGATAAAAGCCGAACCTAACGAAGAAATTTTTTTATTTCATCTAAAAATGTAAAGAATAAAATGTAAAAAACTTACGGTTTAGCTGATACTAAACCGTAAAAAAATGTAAATAAAATGGTCGACGTCAGAGAACACACTTGCTTAGAAATAATCGTCTTTTTCTGTTCAAATATCACATTTGAATATTATTTTAATAGGATTAGTATAAGTCTATAAAAGGCAACCTTTTTATAGATATCGTTTTTCTATTTAACCTCCAATGTTAGCATGTAGAAAAATGTTAAAATGTTAGCTTTGTGACGATATCAAACCTCTTTTAAAAAATAAGTTTTTAATTTTACCTAAATACCTTAAAATATGCAGCCCTAACTTCGACGGAGTATAATGTGTTTAAAATAAAGGAAGGTAACTGATTTTACTACTTCTCTAAAATATCCACCATTTTATGTTTTTTTTAATGTTGCCAGTATTCAAAATCTCATCAATTATATAAATCGATATTGTATTTGAATAGGCAAGAGCCCTGAAACATGAAAGACGAAAAAACATTTAAAATGATGAAACAATGGATGAAACAACTGGATGAAACCTTATGAGCGGAATCGATTAATTGAGTTTCAGTGCTGCCAAAACAAAACATATTAATATAAAAAATGTTTTATGTGGCTGAAGAGGGTATGCATTGTTTGTCTCATCAAATACCACATGCATTGTGACATTTTTACAGTTGTCGCATTTTAAACCCCCAACATGTTTATTCGTAATTAATAACCTATGCTCTATGTCAGTTAATAGTATATTGTTGAGTAAAAATAATTACATTGTTCATTATTAAGAACATAAATAAATAATTAGTTTTAATGATTTAATCGAATCAAGTCGATTAAAAATAGTCGATTTATAACATTTTTAGAATGGCAATAATGACATGCATGACCCGCTAAATGAAAGGCATACATTGACACAATTGACAGCTGTCACTACAGTATTGCCTTTCGTTCTGTTAAGTTCTTTGTTAATGTTTAGTGATTTTCTTCTTTCTTTAAGTTTTACGTCGAGTGAATTTCGAGTTCCTCCGTAACTATAGAAACTGAACATATTCGAGACAGAGACTCTTTTTTTCGTGTGTGAATTGTGTTTGTTTACCAATAACTGATTCGACATACTATTACATGAACTTCAGCAGCTTATTTCTCATGAATCCGTCGAATTAGAGTAATTATTTTTTTGTAATTGAATCTAAGGCCAAAACCCTACAAAATGATGTAGGTTTCATCATGGCACAAAAAAAAAAAATTTGAAACGAAACTCCATACATCATTGCCCATTCTCCTTTATACAATAAAACTGTTAATTTATATGGAAAGAATCTTGTTTCTCGTCGTGCAATAACTCTGAATATGTTTCAACAAATTCTATTTGAATTTCATGGACAA